AAGTAAAAATGAGAAAGGGAACAAACAGAACACAATTAAAGAGAATGTTGACACACCGTGATAAATACAACTAATGCCACTAAACCATTTATATGGAGATAGTCCAACAGGTACTTAAACTGATAAATCCTTCACCTAAAACTCACGAATATTTCCATTTAAAAAAGAGAAACGAAAACCCCATGATGCACAATTTGTCATAGATGGGTAATCACGAGTCTTAATCGAATCAACAGCAACTGTTATTTTTCGTTGCTTTTTTTTAATATGCTGAAGCGAGGCATTGCTGTCTGTGGTGAAATTCTAGGCTTCCGTGCCTGTCGCTTTCTACGCTGACAGTGCACCTCATGTGCAGTGATGTCTTGCTGTCAATGGAGGCTTGCGTGTTGGCATGATGCTCAACTGGCTTCAGCAGACCTTCCAACCTAAAATGAACTAGGAAGAAACACCTAGAGACATACTTCTAAAAATAAGTATATTAAAACCCCATGGATCATACTGGTTCAATCTGCCCCTGCCCATGGCTCAGGACCGGACAGCACTTTGGTCCCTGTGCATGGCACCACCACGAGGAGGGGCCAACTTGATGGCAGCTAACAACAACAATGTAAGAAAGTCTTAAGCGGCTTTTAAAAATGGTGGCATGACAACTGTCCATCAACAGATGAATGGATAAGCAAGTGCACTATATCCATGCAACGACCTATCATCCACACAGAGCTATTAAGTCCTCATACACATTTCAATATGGATAAATGTCGAAAACATTGAGTGAAATAATGCCTAACAAACGGACATGTATTGTGTCTTGGCAACAGTATGAAACATCTAGTATTTGCAAACCCTTGTGGTGTAGTGGGTTACATTGGGCTGCTAACCACAAGGTTGGAGTTCTAATCCACAAGCTGCTCCTCAGGAGAAAGATGAGGCTTTCTACTCCAATTAAGATTTAGACTTGGACACTGTGTGAATCGCGCACGATCTGATCCCGCCACACCGAGGCAAAACGCTAAGGGGGAGCAACAGAACAGGAAGGGAATGGAGCGACAAGGTCCCCAGGGAATGCTGAAGGTGGACTTTGGAGCCAGGAAGTGGAGCCCCAACAGACTGGGCTGTAAAACACTCCTAAAGGCCAACAAACAGTCCTTGGACTAACTACAAGCTTTTCTTTCTTGTGGTTTTTGTCATTGGTCTGTTGCTGTTGTTTTGTTGTATAGTGTTGCTTGGTTTTGCTCTGTCTTGTTTTTGTGCATGTTATTATCTCCGCAGGTCTGTCAAAATAAGATACACTGGATGAACAATCTGGAGGAGAAAACAACGGGACTGACAGTTCCGGGGGGACATGGGATAGGGGGAGGTGGGGGGAAAGGTAGTGGTGTTAACAAACCCAGGGACAAGGGAACAACAATCTATCCAAATTGGTGGTGAGGTGGGTGTGGGAGGCCTGGTAGGGCATGATCAAGGG